GAGGTCGCTTGGTAAAATATCTATCCAAAGAGGTTTGGCTTTGCCTACTTTTTAAAATGTTTCTAAAATGACTTAGGCAAATGTCATTACTCCGAGCAGCAATACGGCCAGTGTGCCTTTTCGGAATGTTTCTTTTCAATAAAATTAGTCACTTTCTGATAATACCTCAAGATTTCCTTTATCGAGCGAGATCCTTCCACGACGAAGCAAACACGTGGACTGAGACAAATGAATAGAAGTGAATAAAAAATGGCGCTGCGAACTAATGTAACGTCGTATGGTGAGTTTTTGTTCGTATCGTGGAGCAAAAACATGTTCGAATTTCATGTCGTATCCTGAAAATTTCGTATGCTGGAGCGTTCGTATCCCGAGGTACCACTGTATTCAAGTTTCAAGTTTTGTAAATATATATTTTTTTCAACAGGCAAATTCCTTTTTTGTATTGTTTTGATAGAAATACTAAAGCTGTTATTGTCTTTTCTTAGAAAAGAAATCTAGGATACAAAAGTAAGTAAACAGTTATAAGAACCTACTTGTTCATATAGTTATGTATATTACAGGTAAACGTCGAGTTACGTCGTTCTCGATTATACGTTGTTTGTCAAAAAAATATATGGAGAAATGAAAATCAAGTTTGAGTCATTTTATTCGATTTTACGTCTGTTCGCCACAAATATTAAAATCGTAATATCACTAGAAAAGTGTTAAAAACATATAAAATCATATTAAAATACATACATTTACAGTAAATGTTAAAATAATTATCATAAACCGTAAAGACGAAATATGAAAACATCTGTAACATTGTGTTGTCATCTTATTTAGCGGTCTTTATGAGCTCAATATTGGCATTTTCCACGTTAGTTTTAATATCTATTGTTTGGAGTCATTGTCAGCGCCACTCGTTATTGGTAAATTTAACATAAATTAGTTTATTTTTTACTATCGTAAAATAATTTTAATAACTGTATTTGTTATTTAACTTTANGCCTCCATAGTTTAAATGCAAAAAATATGAAATGACTGAAACAAATAATTTTTTTTGTAAAAAGTTGTACTTATATTTATTATATTAATATTCAATAATCGTTGGCTATGTAAAACTTATTATTTTTACTTAAATGTATTATGTGATTGTGGCAAGAACACTAGATGACGCTTTTATCATTTCTGCATTTAAACTATGAAGGCAGTAGCCTGAAAAGGAAGGACATCTCCGTGAGTATTTGTAATTTTTATGAACTGCTGATGGTGTGAACAATGAAAGAAATGACTGAAACAAAGAATTTTTTTTGTAAAAAGTTGTACTTATATTTATTATATTAATATTAAATAATCATTGGCCATGTAAACTTATTTTTACTTAAAATTTATTTGTTTGTAAAAATAAATAGATTTTTATTAATCATACTATCTGCAAGGACCCGCTTCGCTGGGTTTTTATTTGTTCGTACATTTGTATGTAATATAGTTGTTTTTACATATAAAACACTGTTTTTCTAAATAATCTAGAATCTAGCTGCAAGGACCCGCTTCGCTGGGTTTTTAAAAAGTAACGATAGTGAAGATTAAGATAATTACATTATAGCCAATCTTACCCGTTTTCACAGAATACAAAAATTAGGTCCCCCGTTTCTGATTAGAGATCTGGTCCCCATTCTATTTCTGAACGTCTCCTGTTCACGTCCAGTCAAACAAACTATTTTCAACGTTTCTGGAACGTTTACAATCGTTCTATAATCGAACCAATATTCGAATTTTTCGAGTGTTTTGTTCGAATTAAATTCGAACATAACACTCGAAATAAAAACCACTTTCAGCCCCATATCTCCCGAACCCTTATAGCTATCGAGACGCAACCCATAGTGCACGAATAGAGACTTGGGGCTACTACCACATACAAACACCATTCACGTGCAATGTGTAGTTTTGGCGGAAAAGTGAAATATAGGGACATACACCTCCATATACTGTATATATATATATATATATATTATTTCAACTGCATTTATAAATAAAATACAAAATTAGGAATGGTATTTGTGGTTTAGCCTAATGACAAGTAAATTCTACTTACGTCGTTTTTTGACTTTAGTCGCCTCTCCTGGAACCAATTACCGACGTAAGGCGAGGTATACCTGTATTTTGAAACAATATTTTAAACATTTGTGAGGAACCCGGTTCGATATACTTGAACTATCGAACGTTTAACGGCTGTAAGTTAATATAACTTATTCTCTAAGGATGGTGATGTTCAGTATTTTAATTGTTTTTCCTGACACCAGCTAAGATAAAACTTTCACGTCTTACCTCGCGATATTAAATTACTTTTCGAGTCGGAGAAACTTAGATTTTTGGGTAAAGGATTCGGCATATAAATAATACAAAACTAGACCAATTTAAAATTAAACAAAACAAAATTTTATGAAAATAAAAGTGAAAACAAATTTCTACTTATTATTTGAATAATATTTAAAATTTTTATATATTAGAAAGAGAGAGAGAGCTTACAATTACATATTACAATACCTCAATATTAATATTTCGACTTGGAAATATTTAGTCGACTCGTTGTTAGAGGTTTTAGTTGAGGCGGAAATTTTTTCCTTTGCCTTAGACAGAAGTTATTATTCTAGGGAGCTCTGGCACAAAGTTATTGTATAGGTAGGAATGACTGAGGGNTCTAAATTTTATTTAAATAAGAAAAAGACTCATATCACATTGCAAAATCAAATTTTCTTAAAGAGAGGAGGTGAGAAATTCAAAATAATTAAAACAGAAATAAATTGCACACTCCACGAGAGGGAGAAAATGCTTATTGTGCACTATTTTTTGTCCAGTATGGACCCATTCAAGGTCATTACATTTCTTCCCATCCCTTCCTAAAACTTATAATGGAAGTGGCAGAGTTTTGGCAGAAAAGTGGGTTATTGTTGATGGTGTTTTTGAAAACCTAACTTTAACTCTATGGCGATATTTTGGTATACTTCCAAAAAATGTGGACTTCTGAAATTCCACGGGCCATCTGAAGATGAAAATATGCAGTCAAAGAAAAACCATATCAAGATCATCAATCTATCAAAATTGGCAGGATTATTATCTCCACATATTGTGTGTGGTCAGCAGCAAAGAATACAATGAATAAAAAATACATGAACTGTGAGGTCTGCCACATGGTCTAAAATGTCTCATACACAATATTGTTAAACCAACTGACAGTTCTTTGCCTCCCACCATGACATCAACTGACTGCAAAAGGTTAACCAGATGTCATGCAGGTCAAAAAAATTGGGAGGGTTATGTATGAAAACCAACTACAATCGTTTAAGGCATAAATCTGTCTTTGTGTTATTAGAAGAAGGATAAGATTTAAACAAAAAGTCTTTGTAGTTATCAAAAGTCAATATCTATAGCAATGACACACTTGAAGTATTTGCATCAGAGTTGATGTGCTTGATTTACTTACACTCTTTGATCAACCTGCATTGTTCGACATTAGTCATTTTAAGCTTTTCTGATTCCTTTTAAATTTTTCTTTCCAACAATATATGTTCCTTACATTTTTGTTCATATTTTCTTTGCAATTTCTTTGATGTTAAGAAAATTTTCTTTAACTTGCACACTTATTGGCTTATAAGTTTACAAATTCTATTTTATTGGTTATTATTGCTAATATTGTAGATCTTATCGTTCTGTACAAATCAACACCAATTTCAACATCCTATCTCTTTGCAATCCAAAGTTATACACTGCCCAAATGCTGTGCAGCATTACCATTTTCAGTGTTCACACACAACTGCAAACCCCCCTCACAGCTGCACATCCCAATTTAAACCTACCCACCAATTTAAATGTAAACATAAATACTCTATCCAACAAAATTTTAATCATTAGATTATCATTTATAGTTTATGAAATATAAGCACGACAAATCTTGCCATTCTTTTGGTTGATCCAGTTTTAATACCCACTCTATACCAAACCAAATTTAAAGATGCATCAGATCAAAAAGGAAAGAGAGCAACAGATGGATTCCAAGGTGTTTACAGATTCCCTGACATTTGATGCCAGTCCCTGACTTTATCTGCTAAAAATCTTATTCCCTGATTTTTCCTGACTTTTCAGGTCCATACAGACCCTGTACATAATGATAACATTGTACACAAATTATAATAAATTACAAAATAATGTTCAAAGTGCTATAAAGTTAAATTGCCAAAAGCAATCAAATGGAGAACTTTGTGTGTTTGTGTATTCATACATACCAAAACAAAATTTTAATTTTAAATTTACAAATTAACTAATAGAAGTAAAAATCCAGTCTTACTTTCTCATATTTAATATTTTAAAATTATGAACCAATTTCATAAAAGGCTTTTATTTATAATGGTAAAGTTAAAACAGTATTATAAAAACATCATAAGATTATCTTAAACAGCTTATTTTAAATTTAATAAGCAAATTAAAAAAAATGTTAAAAAACTCTTTTTATGCACAAGTAATGACATTTAAAAATTAACTAAATTTATAATTTAAAAGTGAAAATTAATAGATCAAGATTTATACTTTAGCACAATTATTGTATTTAGCAGAAGTTTTAAAAAAATTATGACCATTCTATATATGTCATTTTCCAAGATTAGTAAAAATTTCAAAATTTTGAATATTTTATAATAACTAAATATCAACACAAATTATTTTTTTAATATTTTATTCCAATATTAGAGTAAATCACTCAATATATCATAAAGAAATGCATTTTGAAAAATTTTAATATTTTATAAAATTTATTTACCTGTCTGTTCTTGTTTGTTCTATTTTTTCTTTCAGTGTCATAATCTATAAGAAAATAATCAATATTAGAAATCTAAAATAATTACTATTGTTGTTATAATTTATGTTAAACAATTTGTAATTTGATACCATTAATTGTAAAAATAACTGAAAAAAATATAAGCAATCAATTATGGAACATTATTATATCTAAATGCAGACTGAATGAAGAATATGTAATTTGTGCCAAACAGTTTTTAGTTCTTAAAGCTTCTTATTTTTTTATTATTTCACAATATACTGTATAAAAAATATACAGAAAAATGTCTTATAGAATGCATTCTAATTTTCAGATAAATTTTAGGTACAAAAAAGTGGGTTTTATAAGACAATAATATGTAAATTATTAATATCCTTTTATCATTAATTACATAACCTAACATACACATTTCCAAATAATCAGAATGTAAAAAAACATTTAATAATATTTAAAGAAATAAATGATATTTATTTATTTCTTTAAACGTTATTAAGTGTTTTTCCATAAGATACTAATTTATTTATTTTAATAGATGAAATGTTTAGTTGTTTTCAAAAATATAAATACACATCTATTTCAATTCAATGTAAAATACAGTACACAACATCACAAAACAATTATTGTTTTGCAATTTATTAAAAATAAATTGCATACAAAATACTGAAGTTCTAATATATTTGTGAGATTAAACATCAACTGTCAAACATTAATGTTTATCTTTTTGAAATGCACATGGTATAAAAAATTATTAAACAACTTCAAGACATTCTAAATAAATGTACAGTACCATTGCATTGAAAACTATCATCATCTTAATCATCAATTAAACATTGATTTTAAAAATGGAAAACTTTCTTTGATACTCAAGAAATGATGAGCACATTCACACTGCACATAGCATAGCCTAATTTATTGTACAAGACAAATTGTTGGAATTTTTTTCCTGAATTGCAAGAATTTGTAGTTATGTAATTTTCTTATCACAATGAGTTTGCAAGTTTTTACATATAATTTTCTAAAATTTATTAAATTATTGAGATGAAAAAAAATATAACATAATAATTAAAATTTACATAATTAATAGTATTATGCAATAAATGATAAAATCAGTATAAAATTACCACCATGTTAATGATTATTATTTATACAGTATAACTCAAAATTCAGTATATAAAAAAATTAATATTCAAAAACTTTTTACATGTGATAAGATATAATCAAAATTTTGTTATAAAATTAACTTAAAAATTTGAATAGATATTTAGATTTATAGTTTTTTATATAAATTAAAAATTTATTTAAAAGCATAATAAAATTTATAACCTCTTTTTCCAGTGTCTCTTTTGTGCATTCTGTTTCTTGTAACTGATCCAATAAATTTGTCATTTCAGCATTATAACGTGATTGTTGTTGAGTTAAAATTTCTTTATGTTGAAGTTCTACACTCTCAATTTCTAATTTAAGCCTATTTATGATTCAGAAAATATAATGTTATAAAAACTTTTATCAACTATAAATTTAAAAATTTATATATATATATATATAATTTATCAAATTTACTATGACTAACTTACATTGAATAATATATTTATTATTATATATTTTATTTATGTGCATGTGTGCCTGTATGTGTATATAAATATAAATTCTATATGTAATTGAATGAATTGTAGAGAGCAAGTCAATCTTGATAATATGGAGACCAAAAATACTATATCATTGGGTTTAACATTATAAATATATACAAATTCAACAACAACAATAATAATAATAATAAAGAACTATTAAGTAAAAAAAAAAACTGGATTTTTTTACTTAACAGTTCATTATTCTTTTGTTTTCTTTAAAAAAAATATATCACTGTGTAATATATTAGCATGAACAGAGGAGAAACAAAGCATTATTATTTATTTCCTTAATTTCTTAAAGGCAAACAACTGGAAGTAGACAAAATACAATAAAATATTATATTTGTTTATTATGTTAATATAGTTAATTGATTTCTCAAGAATTTTTTACTTTTTACAAATCATATTTAAATGATACCTAATTAATCAGAATTGTCTAATCAGAAAAACTAATGTCCTATGCACCATAGTAGCCTCCTATTATGCCAGGGAAAGTATACTTCCTTGCATATTTCTCATATATTCTGGAAAGTGTAGTTATTTCCAGTTTTAGGACTATCAAAAACAAAATCAAAACTTTGTATTTTCTTTTTGCTTGACTTGTCTTATTTTTTAATAATGTTTACAGGTTTTTTTTTTATAAAGTTTAAAACATATGATCATTGCAAATATATAAATTTATAATTACAACACAAATTTTCACTTTACAGCAGAATAAATTTTTGCGGTAAATTTTCAGCAATCTTCCTTTCAATTTTTAACAATTACAGATAGCCCTCGGTTTACGCCGGCTCAATTTACACTGATTCACAATAACACCGCTACACAATTTACCATTTCGCGGTGTAATTTCCTGATTTTCCCTATGCCAGACTGATTTTCATTTCAGTGTTGATGTATTTACCGAGCTGCAACTATGTACATTCGTTAAAACAAAGATTTTTATTGAATATATTTAGTTTTTCTGTTTAATATTATTGGGTATGTGTACATTTGCATTAAATTAATATTAAAACACTAAATGTTTAGGTACCCACGAGTCAAGTTATCAAACTTAATAGTCCAATAAATGGTGTCCAAATCCATAGCGCCAATGAATGTATCCCGTATTAGTTCGTTTAGGAAAAACCTTACGATGCAGTAGCACTTCCGGCGATCACAAACTACGTTAGTGAGACAAATCTACTTCTTGTTAGCCAGACGATACCTTTTTATTAGCCAGATGATATCTATCTCTGCTTAGCCACCTTGAATTTTCCCGCTCAAACTGACCTTATACATGCGCTACGGCAACCGGTGGTCGACCAATCAGTGTCTCCGCTTGTCTGTAGCTCTACATCACGTTAACGTATCCTTTCAACTATGGAAAGTTTGACGGATGAACTTTGTGAGTTAGACAATGATTGGGAGCAAAGTGCAAATGTAAAAAGAAGCATCATCGCATCCATTCGACCATATTCCAAAATTCTCAATGAAAGAAAACAAAAATGTAAACAATTAAAGAAGGAAACTTTTTTCCGAAAAATGTAAGAGATCCAAAACTAAAATTTTTTAATAAAAACATTTCACTTTATTTTATGATAAAATACATTTTAATTTAATAACTGGGGCTTAAGGAGTTAAAAATTAAAAATTTATATGTATTTTGTATTATACTGTATTAATAAACAAAATTATTTGCTTATTTTTCACTTATGTAGAACCTAATCCTATACCTCACTGTAAATATGGGTTTGTTTTACACTGATTTGTTTTGCGCTGGCTTTTGTAGGAACAGAACTGTGGCATAAACCGAGGGCTACCTGTATTCCATTATTAGACTCCTAAGACTAGAATAAAAAGCTCACCAAAATAAAATTTTTGTACAAGTTACTAAAACTGGCTGATTATGTTGAATATGATAAAAGCAATCAGTTTAATTTAGTCAAATGATTTTGAATAACCAACCGATTATTTACAATTTTGTCAAAAACTTAATTCTTGTGCATAGTTTGTGGGCTATAGCATGATAGGTAACAACATGACTAGCATTGCCAAACAACTCATGCACCAAATTGATTAATTTTAATTCTGTATAATGTGCATCATAGACAATTATCAAAACTAAAAAAAAACTTCAGAGTCAAATTTAAGTCGAGGCTTGATTATAGGTAGAGTAATTTTTTCCCCTTAAAACTGGAAAAAACATTGACTAATATTCAGGCCAATACAGCAATATTGGTGCATAACAGGTCATGTAGTCTGTTTGCATTGATTAGTATTTCGACTATAAATGTAAAATGCCATTAATTCTAAGATGCATCTCTATTTCAAACAAGTAAGAACATGTGAAAATAGTGCCTCTTAGAATCAATAAAATATGGTACATTAATCAACTAGTGCTTGAGTTACCAATCTAGTGCTAGTGATCAGTCAGCAGTCAGTCTGATAATTCAAGCAAGTCATTTTATCAGGGAATTGATAAATTACTGGAGATCATTTGGGAAATTGGTGAACAAATTTATTTTCATTATATTTTAAAATATACTGTAATAATACTTGATATGTGTTTAAATTTTAAGAGAGTAAAATAAGTAATTTTTTTTTCTATTAAACAAAATATTTTTTAAAGAACTCTGGTGTAAGTTTCTTTAACCAGAAAATTGGTCATGATGCTGTTCTTTCGAAAGAACATCATGACCAATTCTCCAGTTAACAAAAGAAGAAAGAAAAGTCAAGATTGTCCATAAAGGAACAACATCCCACGGAAGAAATGAAAATGAGCAGTCTCAAGCAGAAATTAAATAATAGTAAGTTTCTTTTTATCTTTTTTTGCAATATTTTGTTATTGCAATACTGAACTGACTTTAGAAAACAAATTTTTTATTTTGGAACATTAATTTTTAAAATAATTATTGAAAAATTAAATTAAATTATAATATACCTATTTATTTCTTGAGTTGCTTCTAATTGTGCTGGGCTGGTACCCCAACCAACATGACGCTGTTTTAATGATTCCATTTCTTCTTCTAAATGACGAGCATATTCATCACTTCTTTCTTTCATTCTTCTTTCTTTAGCTATATCAGATTTTGCATCTTCAATTCGAGCCTCTAGCTACAAAAAATATTAATTTATTAAAAACGAGTTTAGAATGTTATTAAAACTAAACAACTATAAAAAATCCGGATATACAAAACAGACAATTCTAAGATCTTTAAACATAATTCCTTCAACTAAAAATATTTTCAATCTTACTGATTCATCTTCAGTTATAAATATAATAAATTTCCTATTCATTACAGTACAGTGAAAAAATATAAATAAAGTGCTGGATTTAAGAATTAATCCAAAGAACTGCAGCTAAATTAAGGAAGGAATTCTAAAAATTATTTTAAAAATATTTTTGGCCATTATGTTAACCATCTTCAGCTTAGAAATACACTGAATAGAGAAACAAAAATTTAAAGTAGCTATAAGCTATTTTATGTTTATTGCCTCTTACTAATTTTTCTCAATTAATTCACTATTCTCATACATAAGTTTTTAGAAACAGGAAAATCTAATGAATCAATTGAGAATAACTAGAATTTCTATAATAATTAGATTAAAAAGGACAATTTAAAACTTTAAAAATGTTCGTGTAAACCAGGGGCCGTATTCTGGTCATCGTCTCTCATCTGTCATCTCTCACAAGCCAGTCGCTGATTGGCTAATCATTTGTTTACATCTCGAGAGATCATCACGTCTCTCTAAACGCAATTCTGGACAACTTTTTCTCTCTTCGCTTCTCTCGTTTATCAGAGACGAGCAGATAGTTGTCTTTCGACCAGTCTATCGTCTTTCGCCTCAAATTCATTATATCCAATATGGACGACTGGATGCTACTCACGCTGTACAATTGTATTAGAGAACATTCTCTACTCAAGAAAGAATATTTCCAGAGAGAAAATGCTTCTGCTTTTTTTCCAATGCCTACTCAAAAACATTGATTCCATTTTTTTTTTAATTATCCTACATCAATTACTGAACTATCGAATATAATGTTAATCTTACTTAGATAGTTAAGGAGAAGTTAGATGGTAATATTTCGAAAAATATCCAAGTATGCACGCTTTTCTAACTTAGGTTATTAAAATTTTTATTTGTTAAAAGACAAATTGACATTACAATCTGTAAAAACGTTATAAAACAAAAACAAATTAATCGAAATTACGTGCTTTATTTAAACACATGCTTTCCTTGCCACATGATCTATGATTACATACACTGCATTTTCAAAAATTTTACAATTTCATTGGTTAAAATCCTATAGCGTGTTGCGCGCACAGATAACCCAAATATGTATAATCAACTGAATAGAATCGTGACGCCAACAACAAAGACGAGATCGTTACGAACCACCAGAATCGCCAATGTGTATGAGAGATGAATTTCGTCTCTCGCTTTGAAGTCATTTGTCGGTGAAAGAAGAGACAAGAGATAAGTGACCAGAATATGGCCAGGTTATTCTAACAACAGTTCTAAAGTTATTGCTCTATTTTAAAGTTTCATTCTAACCACTCAATGTACTCATAAGCAAAAAATAATCAAAATAAAGATCAAAAAATTTTTTATTACATACTTTTTAATTTTTAATTAAATAGTATAGTAGAGCATCGATTATCCGACTCAATTGGGGACTGGGGTTGGTCGAATAACTGAAAAAACGGATAACCGAAAAATACGAAAAAATACATTATTAGTATAGTATATTAGTATATCCCATGTAATTAGTATATTAGTCTATCGCTATTAACCGTTGAATTTTCATCGATGTCAAACCTAACAATTTTTTTTAAAAATAATAATCGTCGCTATTGTATCCTTAAAAATTATTTTATTGCTCACAAAACAAACAACCACTCATAATTACAAATTAAGCCTCATTTAAATACTGGCTTCCCTTTCATGGTCAAGCCAGTGTTGCCAGCTAAAACACGCAAAAATTTAACAAAAATAATATTAAAGTAGCCAAGACATAGCCAAATATTGTAGCGCCACATCCCTAGTGGACATTTCAAATTTGCCGACTAGAACGATCAGTTAACCGATGTGACGGTTGATCGGGGGTCAAATAATTGATGCTCTACTGTATATTGATATTTTTTATTTTATCATGGTACCAAATTTCATCCTTAAAAAAATGAATAAATGAATAAAAGTAAGAAAGAAAAGTTATTTATTGTTCTGTACAGAATTTCTTAGTGATATAGCTGAAAATAAACCAGTGAGTTAAAAACACAGGTATAAAAATAAATAATATTTTAAACTTAAAATTATTTGTATCAAGAGTCTACTAATTTAAAACTTAAAAAGATAAATACAATAATGTACCTCCCTACGAAGTTTGTCAGCCTTCCTTAGATCTTGACGCAATGTATCTATTTTCTGCAAGGAATTTTCCAACTCTTCTTCTTTATCACGCACTTGACGAGATAATTTTTGTTTCTGTGCTCTAAGTTCTAATAATCTAACAAATAAAAATTTTATTTATTTATTAATTACAATCAGTTCCTTAGTACATATATCCATGCATGCATGTATGCATGTATCAAAAATATTAAAATTCAAATAATAAAGTAAATTTTAAAATATACTATATATACTGATGAAAGCCATCATCAATGGTCAATGAATGCACGAACTGTGATTGATCAATCGCTTTATAAACTGATGTAAATAAATTAAACTAACAATAACCACTGATATGTCAATTCTTATAGTTTTGGAAGATATAAATTCTCAATGTTTTTAAAACTAAAGGATTTCCAAAATAATCTTCTGAATTTAAAGATAATCTGATAATATGATGGAAAGCTTATAACAACATAAATTCAATTTAACAAATGTCAATATAATTGTAAATGTTAGGATCCAAAAATACAAATTGACATAGCATTTGTTTTTTTCTTTAAATATCATTTTGAATAACATATTCCATTGTTGTCAACTTTTTCTTACAAGTTAACAATGTAATGTCATCTTTCCTACAGACATGAAAGTAATCATCTAAAGTTGGATTTACCATTAAACAAAATCACTTTAGACTGATAAAATTTTACAAAATTCAATTTGTAAAAAGGATTTATTAGAAAACTCATGCCAGTTGGGTTAAAAAAAAAAATCAGATAATTCTCTTTTGGGAAGTCAATTGTCAGTTTTGTTTTCAACAAAATCTTTATGTAATTGTTGTAAATGGTACTCTAGTGATCTGCAGTTGTAGTACTCAAGTGAGACAATCTGTAATTAATGTGTGATAATCTGGAGGAATATCCAATCTGCTTTACAAAATTCCCTCCTCAAATAAACCCCTATGAACTAATTTAATTTTAACCTAAATTTATTCCACTTTTTATCACTTTTTAAATATTTGAATATAACCTAAAAAGGCCAAAACTTCAACATCCTGACAGCATGCTCTATAACGCAACCTTTAGTATGAAATGAGGATGTTTTACTTCCTTCCTCCTCCTATCTTCAATTTTCCCCAAACACCTGTCCAAATGACACAACTAAGCATTCCGTCAGATGATGGGCTGCTAAGTAAACGGATTGTGAAATATTCGGTAATAAAAGAGCAGGTTTCCCCACACTCGGGGCAGTCCACAACTAAATGCACGATCAACCTTAAGGACATGCCATAGGATCGGCAGATTATGCCATATCGACTCGTCCAGCATACTCCTCCTGCCACTGAGGGAACATGCTACGGCTTTACCACTAAACAGCGGTAATATGATTTATTGTAAATTCTCTCTCTAATACTGATTTTAGTCTTAGGTTATATATTTAAGTCTATGTTATCTTTTTATGTTTTGTTGTTTTATTAATTGTCTTTGTTATTTTTCTTTGATTAAATTGTTGATTTTTACATTAAATGACCTTCTTAGTCTAGTATTTATTGACTATGCACAACCGAACCCCACACAGAATTTTACCACTCGGATTCTGTTAGAATAAGCCATCCAGTGACAAAGTGAGCAGGTCTAAAGAATCTGATGATTAGAGGGACTTAACCTTCGTCCATATTCTCACAAATGCAATGCTAAAGACCATCCAGACATGCACCTCCAATCAGACATCTAAACTATCCCCCTATCACTGATCATAGATCCAACTGCCACTTAGAATACATAGCTGATACAACATGCCATTTAAACACCTGCCTCATGGAACATCAGACTTCCATCATGAAAGGATTAGCCAACACTGCATTGGCTATCTTTGCCTCTGACCCAGATTTCAATGTGGACTTTGACAGTGCAAGCCTCTTACATAGATCTTTATAGCAACCCTTTCTCAAACATCTTGAACAGATGGAAATTTATAAGGCCAACCACAATAACACCACTATTAATTTTTATGATGTTGACTCCTTTCTCAAAGTGTGGAGGTCTTTCTTTGAACTATAAATCTTACTATCTTTCTCTCCCCTTTCTCTTTTACGTCACCTTCCCTCTTCACACAAGTGCAGCAATTCTGTTGTTTCAGAGCTGAAAAATTGGTTTGCCTGATAATACCTATTTAATACCACAAGTGAAAACATTAGTACTTATTTCTTTTACTCTGCTGGATATTAGGTTTTTTTATTCTTCTGGATTATGGTTATAATTCAAGTATCAGCAGTTTTTGAGTAGTAGTAATGTAAAATAAGTTTAAAAACTATAATGATAGTTCTTATACCGATACTTATAAAAATGATACTGACATTAAAGCTAAAAATTGACTACTTTTAGTATAGAGATTTTACAAATCAAAAGATCAATGTAAATGCTAGTATAAATCTTTTGTTACATGTTTAAAAAACATAGTATCTGCTGAAACTATAATAACACAAAATACAAAACCAGTCTCTCATGCCAAAAGCAAAATGAAAAAATATTTGACATAAATTGCCAAGATTTTTAGTCATTAATGAACATATACCAATGGACAACAAATAAAAACAAGTGATCTCATGTGGTCACCACCTGGTTGTGGTGGGAGAGCCCAGTAATTTTACTGATCCATAGAGCAATGCAGGCTGGAGCACAAGCTCCTGATAGGGACACCCATGCCAGTAAGGTCTACGGAGAGAAATGAAGCTAAGAGTGACCACACCCACATTCTGTAAAGATATTTATCATGGTAGTAACCAGATCTAAGTGTGATACCGGCTCAAACGTTGCCCGGGATAACAAGGTCCACGTTCGTGGTATAGGCAAAGGCTCACGTTCGAAAAATACGCCACCGTCTCCCTTGGTTACCAGTGACGAAAGCAGCACTGGCCCAAGCAAGGCTACTACAATGTCTTCAACAGAAGTGAACAACCAACCTAGCCTTGGTGTTTCTCTGGCAATGCATCCACAGATTACAAAAGCTGGAAAACAACGCCAACAGATGAAATGGACAACAGAAATGAACAAGTTTATCATCCGTACTTACTACACCATCACAAGACTCGAAACAAACATGACAGCATACAGACAACAACTATACCATAGATTCACACAACAATATCTCCAACTCACTGTCACTGAACAAAGGGTTGTTGATCAAACAAGAACAATTATACACAACAACCTTATCCCACAAACAACACTTGAACTTATCAAACAACAGGTTGCTGATCAAATACATCAACAGACGGAAAGATGTAACATTAATGAAGATCACATAACCTATACTCCAAACCAACAACTACCTACAATTAACCATTAACCGGTGCAAAATTCTTTAAAATCGGCGAACGTTTTCGATTCCCCTCCTGGGGTCTTCTTCAGGCTTACTTCTTTATAGCTTTTGTTATAACCGGATTCAAATTAAAGAATCCGGTTATAATGAAAGCTATAAAGAAGTAAGCCTGAAGAAGACCCCAGGAGGGGAATCAAAAACGTTCGCCGATTTTAAAGAATTTCGCACCGGTTAATGGTTAATTGTAGATAGTTGTTGGTTTGGAGTATATGCAACCCGGTGTGGAAAGAAAGCACATTGATCACATAACCTGTCAGGATAATACAGCAACAAGCATTGATAATAGCACACATACAACAACTACCATTAATGATACTACAGACATTTCCTCATCCATCACTGATAACGTAGATATAGATTTAGTTAATACACTATTACTTATATTTCAGGAAACACTCACTAAATATACAGGTACAGATCCCACACAAAGACCACGAATACCGAAAATCAACACGTCAAAGGTAGTAGGAAAAACACTAAATTATGTAAACACTCATTTACTACCAAACTACATTTATTCAATTTCTACACTCTCAGACATTCATACATTAGTTTATGCTGGGGCAGTCACAGTAGTAACACCATAGACTGAAAATACAATCGCAGACAAACACACACAAAACACAATTCTATCACAAGCCTGCCTGGCAGAGACAAATAGAAACACAATAAATGACATTAGACAGCAATTAGGCAGGCTGACACAATACACTAAAAACAACATAACACCCAAATTAAACAAACAACTCAAAAACATTTTCAAGAAAATCAAAACACACATAAAACACAAACATCACAACACATACATTACAGAATACATCGATACACTAAAACAGAAACTCGCAGCCAAAGCACGTAGACTCAAACAATACAAAACATGTACATTATGAAAACAACAAAATAAATTATTCGCAAACAATGAAAAACTTTTCTACAGACAAATCAGTACCAAAACAAACACTGATACACAGCACAGTGGCACACCAACAGAAGAAGAACTCACAACTTATTGGTCTTCTATTTGGTCCAATGCTGTTACACACAATGCCGATGCAGGCTGGATCGAATAGGAGAACAGAAACTTGCACAACATACCAACTATGCCCTATGCTGAAATAAACGAACACGACATCTGCTACGCTGTTAACAGAACACACAACTGGAAGACACCTGGAGTAGACAACATTCACAATTTCTGGTACAAAAAGTTTACATCACTGCACCAGGAACTAGCTAAACATCTAACACACATCATCATCAATCCACAAGACATGCCAAAATTTCTTACTCGGGGCATTACCTACATGAAACCTAAAAACAACAAAACCACAGACCCCACACAATACAGACCAATTACATGTCTTCCAACACTCTACAAATTATTGACATCCTGTATCACAAACAAAATATACAAACATGTTGAAGAACACGACATTCTTACAGAACAACAAAAAGGTTGCCGTAGAAATCACAGGGGATGCAAAGAACAGTTACTCATAGATTCAGTCATTCTACGGCAAGCACACAAACAACACAGAAACATACACATGGCATATATAGACTACAGAAAAGCATTCGACAGTGTTCCACACAGTTGGCTGCTACATATTCTACACATGTACAAAATACATCCATCACTCATTGCATTCTTCGAAAACACTATGCAGCACTGGAGAACAACACTACATCTCAGGGTTAGTAACACTTCCATACAAACAAACGAAATATTCATTAGGCGAGGAATTTTTCAAGGAGATTCCTTGAGTCCTCTCTGGTTCTGCCTAGCCCTGAATCCATTATCCAACATGTTAAACAACACGCAATACGGCTACAATATCAGACACGAAAAAACAACACAGTTTACACTCTCACATCTCATGTACATGGACGACATAAAACTTTATGCATCCACACAAAAACAACTTCATCAACTCCTACAAATCACACATTCATACACTAAGGACATACAAATGGAGTTTGGCTTAGACAAATGCAAAACACTTCACATAGAAAAAGGAATCCTGAAGAAAGAAGATTTTGCACTTGGAAATGGAGACGTTATTGAATCCATGGAAGAGGGCGAGTTCTACAAGTACTTAGGATTCCAACAGGCCAAACTAACAGAACATACACAAATAAAGCAACGATTAATTAAAGAATACCAAAGTAGGTTAAACGCTATACTTAGAACACAGTTAAATGCAAAACACACAGTTAAAGCAATAAACACATATGTCATCCCAGTACTCACATACTCTTTTGGAGTTATACATTGGACTCACACAGATCTCGAGCAACTCCAAAGGAAAACAAGAACAACACTTACTAAGCATAAACAACATCATCCTAAATCCGCCACAGAAAGATTAACCCTTCCACGTAAAGAAGGCGGACGTGGCCTGATTGACATAGTTAACCTTCACTACAAACAAATACAGTCACTGCGAGAGTTTTTCTACAAGAAACAAGAAACATCACAGTTACATAAAGCAGTAACTCTAGCAGACTCAAATAACACACCATTAAACTTACACTCACAACATACAGACATGACACAACATATAAAAAGCATAGACAACATTAAGCAATCATGGGCTCAAAAGGCTCTCCATGGCAGGCATCCTTACGACCTGGCCCAGGATTTTGTTGACAAAACTGCGTCAAACAGCTGGTTAGATCGGGGATGCCTCTTTGGGGAGACGGAAGGATTCATGATTGCCATACAGGATCAGGTCATAAATACTAAAAACTACAGAAAACACATACTCAAAGATACAACACTCACAAATGACACATGCAGAAAATGTCACATCATGCCAGAAACTATACAACACATCACTTCTGGTTGCAAGCTCTTGGCACAGACAGATTACTTACATAGACACAATCAAGTAGCAAATATAATACACCAAGAGCTTGCAAAGAAACACAAATTGGCAGACATCCACGAACCATACTACAAGTATATTCCACAGACAGTATTGGAAAATAACACGCACAAAATGTATTACGACAGAGCCATAATCACAGATAAAACAATTTACCACAACAGACCAGACATCACACTCATTGACAAACACAATAAAATCACATACATTATAGACATAGCCATTCCAAACACTCACAATGTACAAAACACATGCACTGAAAAAATTAGCAAGTACACAGAACTCACCCAGGAAATAAGGCATCTGTGGAGGATGGAAAGGGTGCTTATTGTACCTGTCATTCTCTCCTGTACAGGTGTGATACCATGCACACTACACAAAAGCCTGGGAACATTATAATTGAGTAGAAATACATACATCACACTACAGAAGGCCACTATATTGAATACATGCAACATTGTTAGGAAATTCCTGAATACAGACACACACACTGACACACTTATTTAATTTTAGTTTTGTTTTGGTTGCTATGCCTTGACTTTGGTCTGGCATAGTACACAGCCACCGGTGTGAACCGAGTATAACTCACAAAATCCAACATAATAATAGTAATTTTTCCACAATCTTCTAAAAACGTTAATTAAGAAATAATTTTAATTTTATTCTAGTTTTCTTGAAACAAAAACCACAGTCTCTTGGACAGCAATTTACATTTGTATGTTAATATATTACACTTTTTAAAAGTATGAGTAGATAATTGCATTAGTTTGTTTTTCACTTTATCAAAACAATAAAAAGCTTTCAAATACAAACAGAAAAACAGTCATTCAGCTTTTATTAAAAAGAATAAGTAGATATACATATTAAGAGCGTACATTTAATGCACAGCTAAATAATGAAATTTTTGTTAATGGATAAGTTTTTATTAACTGGATACTCAAAATAACTTTAAGATATAAATTCCATAAAATATTTTTAATGATGATAAAAATTGAAAAAAATCATTATCATAAACTGATGATTTAAGATCACAATAAAAATAAAAGTCAATTTTTGTTAAATTATTTCAGTTTCCATTTTATTAATTAATTCAAATATATAACTTTAATGATAGATTACCTAGTAACAACTAAAACTATTATTATCTTTTTAAATTGATAATGTTCGTAGGTCCAGTTTATGACAGAGAAAATACATTATGTAAAATGTGAGTTGTTTTGTTTTAAAATTTTAATAATTAAATTATTTTTCAAAATGTATATAAATTGTTTAAATTAAAATTTCTGTTTGTAAAATTGGTGCTTTTGAAAATTGAAAACAAAAATAAGTTATTAGAAAATACAGTACATTCAAGTAACAACAATTACAGATTAAATGTTATAAATGCCAGTTGATTTAAAAAAAAAAATTTGCCTTATGATTTTTTGAGCTGTATCTTATGCAATTTTTATATATTATTAATCGTGATTTAAAATTTAAATGCAAACTCAATTAATAGGCAGTAGTCAAACTTCATTCATACAAAAGTAGTGATAAAATTTTGATTTACAAGTATTAAAAAACAGTGATATAGCTAATCAAATCACCAATTCATAAAACCATTAATCATATCTAATGAATAATAAATGCCAATCATCACTCTTACAACTTTACAAACCATTAAGACTTATGAAAGCATACAAAAGGCATTAATTATTTTTATTTATAAACATTAAAAAATTATAAGTTTGTTTTTTAAGTTTTTTTTTACCTTCACATACTGCTCCTTGCCTGATAATCCCAACCATCAGTGATGTGCAATGATTACATTTCAAAGGTGCTACAAATGTACGTACTAAAAACTGATGGGCCTTGGGCTGAAAAATTAATAATGTTTTAAAATGTTGGTTATGAAATTCTATAAGATTTAAATAAAAATTTACCAGACTAAAATAATTGAACACAAAAAAATAATAATAGAACTTACTAAACAGACTAAAATCAGTACTAAAAACACACTTAAACTTCAAAAACCTGATAAAACACATATCCCATTCCATTACTTACCTACTATTTTGGCACCATTCAATGGGCTAATACAGACTTTGAGGACCTAAATTGTAAAACCCAAACAATACTCACTAAGTATAGACTGTAACCCCCTGATTCTGCTAAGAAAAGGCTTATCCTCCCATGCTTGGAGAGTGTCAGAGGTCTTATTAGTATTAAGATTCTCCATCAGAAACAGATAGACTCATTACAAGGCTTCTTCCATACTAAACAACAATCATTATCATTACATTACACAAACATCCAGGCTGATAAGTATATACTATTATTAAATCTAAGGAACACCCAAAGTACAAAAAACACAAATGATGCTGTGAACACAAAACAGCAAGCATAAATGGGAAAAGCACTCCATGAATGATACCCAACTGATCTTGCACCTAAACACAGAGCTAAAACAGCATCAAACTACTGGCTTAGAGGTGGGAATCTCTTTGGAGAAACAGAAGACTTTATAATTGCAATAAAGGACCAACTTATCAATACAAGAAACTGCAGAAAACATGTAATCAAAGATATCATGGATGGTACTGTACATGCAGAAAATGTCATGCTGAAAAAGAAGCTATACAACATATCACAAGGAGCTATAAAAGTCTGGCACAAACAGATTATTTATACAGACATAACCAGGTAGCTAAAATAATTTATCAGTTTATAGCAAAGAAGTATTTACTAGCCATCACATAAAACCCAAACTATAAGTATATTTCATAAATTATCTTTGAGAACACAGCACAGGAACTATTTTGACAGAGCAATTATAAAATGAACCATCATAATAAACCAAACATTATCCTTATCATTGAAGAAAAAAACCTATATCACTGACATTGTTATACCAAATACACATAATCTACAAAGTAGCTATACAGAAAAATGAATAAATATACTGAAGTCTTTCAAGAAATAAAATGTCCATGGAAAATGGATAAAGTCCATATCATACCTAATGTTCTCTCTGCCACAGGAGTTATTCTACATTCATTACATAAAAACCTGAAGACAATAGACATTCACTCAAATTTATATAGATCCTTACAAAAAGCTACCACTCTAGCAATTTGTCATATTGCCAGAAGATTTTCCAAACTGTTTAAAGTTTTGTACTAATCTCATAGGCTTAGCTCTCTGGCCTGCCTGTGAGATATGATTTCAAGCCCAAACTGAGAATGATATGCAGTAAAAATAATAATAATGCATCATCAAGTTAAGTAAAATAAAACATTGATTACAAATACAAAATTAAAAAGAAAAACAATTCACAATTTTGAAAAAAAATTTATTATGTAAATATTTTTATTGATTTACTAATGAATTTCTGAAGGTTTTGCATTAGGAATGTGATTACATCACATTTCTAATGCAAAACCTTCAGAATAATAATCTCATTTTATCTTAGGATTAAAGAAAGAAAACTGAGAGCTTAAAAGTCATGGGTAATGTTCAGATCACAGAGGCTATTAGGATTTTTGAGAAAAAGCTTAAAATCTAGAAATATTAACAAATGTAACTCTGATAAAAAAACAACAGTTAGTGATCACAACCTTACTGGCTATATGTCATTAAATATTTTGCATTTTTGTTTAAATTAATTGATTAATTAAAAAATTAACGTAATTTGAATTTAAGTTTTAAATCTATAATTTTACACTATATATTTAACTTATTCACGTAAACTTTAAATTTTTCTTCATTGTCTATTTTATTCTATCTAATGTAATAGTGATGTCATCATTAGCATAGGGATGATTTTTCTCAAGTTTACACTTCCACAACAGTAACAGAACATTCTTCACTTCCTGAAGACAGGTAGTTGAGTTCAAAAGTACTTGAACTTTTTAAAATTTGTGCAGTTTTTATTCCATTGAAACCAATACTTTATTCATATTTTATTTTATTTTTAAAGTTATGTTTAAGTTATTATTTTTGTTCTATATCTATAATATTATCCTTAAGGTTTTCAATCATCTCATGCTTGGAATGTTTAAAATAGCTTTTAAACATGCTTGGAATGTTTAAAAGCTATTTTAAACATTCCAAGCATGAGAATTAAATTGATTTTTTCTAAATATTTAAATTTATCTTTGTTCAAATGATAGTATTTCTGTATGAACAGTGTGATTTCTAACATCTGATCTGACACTGAGATATAAACAATCTCAAAAACATTTTATGATGATAAATTTTTGACTCCTTTAATCTTTATTAGCTATGGCATGTTATTTACAATAAGAAAATGGTAGTCAATAGCCAACAAAGAATTAATTCAAAACATGAACTCGTAAATATATTTATCTCTGATCATATTTCTGTCAAACTAACACATTTACACATCAAAACAAATAATTAAAAAACTGCTTATTTCTGGAAACCAAGTAAAGTTTATTGATTAAATTACAACCAATTGGAACATGGAACTATTTATAAAAAGCTTTTATGAAATTAAGCAACTTTTCAATTACCTATTTTAATATTTTGGTATCAAGTTTTATTTTAATGTTTCATATTAATTAGTAAAAATCACTTTATATTGCATATAAAATCAATAAAACCAGAATTATTATTAAATCAAATAACCAAGTATCATTCAATTTTCTCCAAGCTAAAAAGAAATAGATTTTCTTATTTTGAAATTTATCAAGGAATAAGTAGTTGCCATACTTTAGGAATTTTAGTAATAAGAACTAATTTTTTATTATTTATTTATTTTATACAATTTAAGATAACATCATGAAAATAATAAAGACCTCCCTTAAGCAACAAAAATATAAAATAATATCCATTAAAAATTAGTTAAAAAACAACAAATGAATATAATAAAAATTTGCTTACAGTACAATCTATATTTATGGTACTCAAAATATAATATGTCTTCTGTATCAGATACAAATTTCTAATAATAAATTTATATTTAATTATAAAAAATATCTGAAATAGAATATTGATACAGAACAGGTTTCAAATTTAACTCTAAATTAAGTAGGAAGTTATGTTATTCTGATTCCAAGTCAATTTTCATTTTCAAATACACTACTAACCACAAGTATCTAACAAGATATTATTTATCACTACTAACCAAGAAGTATCTACTAGGGTTTCTCATTTCCCGGTATTTTGCTTGTCCCGGGATCCCGGGATAAAAGTGAACTGTTTCCCGGGATCCCGGGATAGAATTAATTATTTTTAAGGTATACAAAATATCTTGAAATCAAATGATATAATTATTTTCCATTTTTTAAAGTAATTTTAAAGTTTTGTAACCTCCAAAATCATATTAATAATGCTGTGTAAGGTCTATAGGCCTATAATAAAAATTACCTTTAAATAACGTAGAAATTTTCACAAATAGAAAAAAATTAATTAAAGTTTGCTGGAAACTGCATACAACAACAACAAAAAAAATGTTTTGAATTGAGTTAAAAATTAAAAAAATGAACTTCTAATTTAGAAGGTAATTTTCGTTTTTTAAATAAAATATAATACAAAATATTGCAAACTTTTATAAGATTTTAAAAAGCAAAGATGGTCAATACTCCGATAACTCACTCTAATTCTTATTTTAGTAATGAAAAGTCTTGCCACCGAGAATGCCCTTTCCGATTCAATTGATGTGATTGGAATAGTGTTTAATGCATTTAAGAGAAGACAGATATTATGTGTTTTTTCACCTGTAGCCTGGAAGCTTTCGAGTTCGTTTTCGAGATTGTAGTACTTCTTTCGCTCTCTAGTATTCTTGATTTGTCTACCTTGGCTGCTTTAATAGCGGCATCAAGCTTAGAGCTCGATAATTCGGCAATTCATTTGGCTTTAATAATCAGGTTTATGAAGAAAAACTTCATACTTGCAGACTTTGTACTCGTTTGTATCCTTGCCCAATTTGCACAATCTGGCGTCAGGCATTTATTGAAGCTACTGGGCATGGTTAAAACTCAAGACAGCGTAAGCACAATTATTCCAGATATTACAGGTTCCGACAAGTAAAGAATTTTTATAGTCATGCCACAAATAAGCTATATATTGATTATTGACCATTTGTGACATGCTATAACGAGCAAAAATTTAAAAAAACTAATAGGTAGGTTTAAAATTAATAAATACAAATGTATTCTGGCAGTGAATGAGTTAATTATGCTTTCTATTTGCAAAACTCCTCAACCTTAACAAAAAATAAGAAAAAAAGTGAATTTTTAAGAAATTTGCGGGATTTCCCGGGATAAGAAAAATTTCCCGGGTTAAAAAAACAACCGGGATCCCAGGATCCCGGAATCCCGTTTCAGAAACCCTAGTATCTACTATATCAAGTATCTACTATATAACATTGTTAATTCTTGGAAGTTTTCTCAATCTGACATCTACAGGATTAGAGTTTTGCTGGATTATCAAAACTGCTGAATTACCAGACATTTTCATACTTTCAAAAAATCCATAAAGTTATGTATGATACAAATGTTGACATTACTGTATATTTTGTCCAGCACATGCTGCTTAATGCTTCTAATTTCTTTATGCATGCTCTTTAATCAGTCTGAAGATAATACAGTGCATGCAGGGCTATCGAGAGAAGGAGAGATGGGGATTTTTCCCTGGGTGCAGAGAAAACTTAGAAGCTCACTATAATTGCTACCCATATAAATTAATGTTATTTTTAATAAAAATTAAAATCTTTAAGACTTTCTTTTATTAACAAAGAGACATTCTATTTGTTAAAATAAAGTCAAAAAGGACTGCACTACCCCTGGGCTCTCTCGATAGCCCTGAATGCATGATTATATTGGACTAATTAAAAAAACCTGCAAAGTATTGA